GCGGCGCGGCGGACAAGCGCTCGGGCTTCCTGACGCTGGGCTACCGCGGCTCCTTCACCGCGCTGCGCGACAACCAGGCGGACGCCAAGTTCCGGCGCGTGGCGCGCATCCTGGTGTGCGGGCGCATCGCGCTGGCCAAGGAGGTCTTCGGGGACACGCTGAACGAGAGCCGAGACCCCGACCGGCCGCCGGAGAAGTACACGTCGCGCTTCTACCTCAAGTTCACGTACTTGGAGCAGGCGTTCGACCGCCTGTCCGAGGCCGGCTTCCACATGGTGGCGTGTAACTCCTCGGGCGCCGCTGCCTTCGTCAACCAGTACCGCGACGACAAGATCTGGAGCAGCTACACCGAGTACATCTTCTTCCGTAAGTTCCCCGCCTGGGCGCTTTGCAGGCGCCCCGCCAGCCCCGGCGGTCCCAGGGCCCCTCCGCGCATCCTTGGGTCCCGGTGCGGAGCCCCCGCCGTCATGCAGTGGATACCATGTAATCTTAAGCCCTGGGGGTCTCCCTGGAGACCCCCCACCTCCACCTATTTATTTTTGAACTCAGAAACACCAAGTGAGCACCCAGCCCTCTTGCTGCACTTTGTGATCGTCCCCCTCCTCTGGTCCAGCTCCTGCATACTCTGGACCTCCCTGCGACTAGAACTGGGACTGGTAGCAGGGCAGGGCTGGATCCCCGGGCCCCCTCTTCTCACCGCGCCCAAGGGCTCCGGCCACCAAGTACTGCCTTCCCTTTGTGCTCACCAGGTGCGGGAGCGTCCAGTTACAGGCTGTGTCGGGAGGGGACAAGGGGAGAAGTGGCAGCTGTGCCACCTGAGACTTCAAGGTGGCCAGGTTGTGGGAATGACTGCTGGGAGAGGGGTTTCCATTGAGCTTGACTGAATAAAGCCCTCATCCCCCCATCCCCTCCTCCTTTCACTCAGCACCAGTTCACCTGCCTGCCTTTTGGGAGCAGGAGACTAGGAACCAAGTTTGGTTGTCTGGGTGTTGCTGTGGAGGATAGGGAAATAAAGGGGTGGTGTGTGTGTGTGTGTGTGTGTGTGTGTGTGTGTGTGTGTGTGTGTGTGTGTGTGTGTTGCATCTCAAGTGCTCAAGTGTGAAACTGGCTGTTGAGCCAGTGTTTTCAGGGACGGGGAATGGATGCAGTTATCTGAAATTAAGAAAGGGTACAGTTTTCAGAAAGCATTAGAAACGGTGTTTTTGTAGTGTGCTTCCTGAAGGAACTGTGCATAGTTCTAGAAATTAAGCCTGGCATGGGAACCTGGTGCGGGGGAGTTGGGTTTGGAGAGGGGGCTGGCGGAGCATAGGGGTGGAGGAAGGACATCATTTGGCAAACTTTTTTTTTTTAAGATGCAAAATGCTTTAATAGTTGTTTTTATGGTTTCAAGAGTAGAATGGAAAGGCTCTGTCAGACAGAGGCTCTACTGTGGTATGAATTTTGGTAACTAACTCACTGTATCCTGGACAGTTTTCTACTCTGGCTGGAGGAGTGGAGGCAGCTCTCCTTGTACAAGAGCAAGGTTGATTACAAGGTGCCTGCCTCAGGGTTTGTGTAATCTGGTGACTTTAGGAATAGAGTGACCAAATACAGTATCTAAGTTTATAGCAAGGTTTTCTATGTATTAGTGCTGGAATTAACCCGGATACCACTTGGACTGAGAAATAAAAGAAGTGTCCATTGAGTAAATCTGATTGTCTTGATAATATCAAAGTACCACTTGTTAAATATTAAGTTAATGCTCAACAAGACCACCCAAAAGAAGCTATTTTATTTTTCATAAAAATGGGATACCTTCTAGCATATGCTATGTAAATAGAATTTTTAGAACTATGTATTTTAATCTTTATCAAAGGGACTTTTATCAACAACTTTTTAGGTTTTAAGTATTAAGTAATTTTGACATAAATCTCTTTCAGGCATATCAGAAGATGTAGTGTATTTAATTTTTGCCCTTTTATGGGTAGTACTTTTTCTTTGGGATGATTGGAATCTTGGGTCCTTAATCTCTTGCATTTTGGAGGTTTGTCACTGATTTGATTCTTCTGTGTTTCCCTAGAAAGATGTACTTGAAAATATTCATTACGTTGGTTATGAAGAGATGCTTTCTGTTGTCTTTAAACTAGTAGAAGAAATATCCTTAAAGTAAATTGAAATCAAAAGTCAGCAAATTTAATGACTACAATCATTTGAGAGACATTTGGAATGCACTTCTGAAGCTAGAGGAAGTGTGAAAAATATTCATTATGATTAACTACTTTCAGGGTATGCTTCTGACTAGGGAGTTCTGAGGATTCATTCATAAAAGTCTCAGGAAATGTAAGGGAGCAATCTATATGCAAGTCTTCATAGATTATCCTAACTTTGGATAAAAAATACAGTTCCAGAGTCTTGTTTTGATGTGGTAATCTAGTCATGGACCAACTAAATGTTATCATTTTAAATTTCATATGTAAAATTTATTCTGAATATTAATATATTATAATGTTTGTACAGTTTGCAGCATATCCTTTAAAATTATTTTGAATGGGATTAATATTTTTCCTTGAAGAATGAAAATCAACAGTCACCATTTTGTATTTCCAAAACCTACTTGTTAATGAAATATAAAATACCCCTTTTTTTGTAGTCTTTATTTCAAAAGATTATCAATTTTACTCATGAAAACATTATGATAACCTAGTTATCCACTTCTGTTTTGGATACAGATGAAAATCTGACTATCTTTACCTGCCCCTTTTTGATCCTAAGTTTTTTCAACAAATAATTTAGGGCATAACTTATTTCAGCAAGCTTCAATCATTTTGACACCTTTTAAAATTCAGGCTCAATATGAGCAGAGTGGTTGGAAGCCACTTTAGAATTGAGATAACTATAGTTTCTACAATTGAATTTTTACTTAAATTGTACCATCCCGTCAGAGTTAAAGCTATTCGGGATAAGAGAACAGCAAATGGATCATGAATCCCAGGCCATGCTGTTTGCTAACTCATTTCATGGGTTTGTATCTAATGGGGGTAATCATGGTATCAGTCTTAAAGGCTTTGAGGATACATGCAGTGTCCTTGGATGAGTGCCTGACACATAATAAGAACTTAACAAAATTAACTTCTAGCATTACAACCGTAAATGACAGGCATTTTTATTCTTGTCAACATTAATTCTTAAAGTTCGTTTAATAGAAGTATAGCTAATTTAGATTATGAAGTGATTTGGAAAGCTATTTTGTAATTAAGTGGTAGCATATTGAACTTTCAGCTAATCAATTAAGTAACGACCCTCCTTTTTGGAAGGAACCCTAGTGGCACAGTGGGTTAGGCATTTGTTGGCAATCCAAATGTGGTTGAACCCCACCAACTGCTGTCCAAAAGAAAGTTGAGGCTGTTTATTGGCATAAAGATTTACAGGCTTGGAAACCCTATATAGGGTCTCTATGAGTTCGCTTGATGATGGCAGAAGGTTTGGTTTGGGTCCTTTCTGGAACTTGAATTTTTCGGATCAAGTTCAAGTCATCTAGTCTTGTCAGGCATGCACCAGTTGATTCTTCTAGACTGACTTCCACAGAACTCTTTTCTGATTCAGGTCCAAGAAGCATCTTAGCAGTCTACACTAGGACTTGAAAGTTTAGCAGTATTTCCTGACAAATAACAAGCTAGATTCCTAGCTCCTTAAGTGCTTTTATCTAAGTCATTGAATTCTAATGCACAAGTTGGATGCAGCATATTAAACATTTAATATCAGCTTCATTTAGCTACATGTATACTTAGCTCTCTATTCTCAGTCTTATCTCATTATTTATCTATCTTTGTAATACACTGCAAAATACCATAGTACTATTAAATTTTATACTACCCTCTTAACACTGAAGATGGATTGCCCTTTCTTGGGGGGAAAGCAGAGTGATTTATTGCATGTTCTTATTTGGGGGGATGTCTAGGAAGCACAATTACGGTTCTTTGTAGCAGGACATAGTAGGAAGGGAAAAGCATTTATGTTTTGGCAGTGTGTTGTATGGGCAATAGTTATGTACTTGGAATGTGTTGTGCAGATCTCTGATGTTGTTAGGTGTGGTTGAGCAAGTAAGTTCCAAATCTTAGCCACCCTTGGCTCAGCAGTTTGAGTCATTGTTCAGTTCTGTGCCATTCTCAAAACTGTGACATTTGAGCCTACTGTTGCAGTCACTGTGCCAATAAGTAGCATTATATAATTGTATTTTTCTTATTATCAGTGAGTTTACAGAGAAGGTGGTAGTGATGTGCTACTTTTCTCTTCTTATAGTGTGTCAAATTTTGCACGTCTGTAGAGAACTAGGTGATGCGAAAGCACACATTTCTCTAGGTTGTGTATGTTATTCTTTGATGTTTGGTATATCTCTTTATTGTTAGTGTGATATATAACACTCACATCCAAGATATAGTGCTGTTACTGAACTGGGCTGTTGAATCTAATTTGTCTTTGTCTTTGTGGATTCTTCTGTCTGCTCTTAGATAAATTCTGATTTGTTTCACTGGGTTGATTGAAGACAGCTAGTTGAGTTGGAAACATTCAACTATTCACTCTTATATTAGCATGCTTCATGCTTGTTACAGGAAGTCTTCTGGGATACATCTTTGAAGAGTCATTCTATTTAGTTTCAGAACTTTAAAATTGTTTATCTCGTCTCAAAGTTTCGCCAAATATTATTTTATGTAAAAGAATTGTGTTAATCCTTTTTTATGTGTGTTCTTCTTGAATATCTACTGACCGCTTTATGTGATAATTTCTTCTGCATCCACATAGTTGAATGAATTTAGCATCAGTGAAAAATAAGCAAAAGGAGCAGATACCTCTTTTAAAACACCAAGATTTTGATTTTATGCAAGCACTTACATAAATAAAGCAAATAGAAAAATGACAAAATCTTAGCATTCAAAATATTTGGAGACTATGAGATTGGTTTCTTTTAAAGAGCATTGACATTTTATGCCAGATATTATACTATCTAGACTTGATGTTTTGTATAGCGTTATGGATTTAGCACTCCCCACCACCTATGCTACTGCTCTGAATATCAATCTTTATGCAGATTGTAGAGCTGAAAGAATGAATGGTGTTGCAAACCTTCTTTAGGAAAGTTTTTCTGTCTTGTAATTTAGGATGGTAGAACTCCTAATTTGAATGTGTGTGTGCTAGTTTAGAAGAAAAAATAACCAGAAAGAAGGGGAGAAGAGAAGTGTAAAAATACCATCTTGGAAGAATACATTTAGAATCCTCCTTAGCAGCGGATAGTGAGATTTCATCCCTGTATACTTTTGGCATGTAATCGGGAGGACCAGTCCCTGGAGAAGGACATGGTAAGGTAGAGGGTCAGCACAAAAGGAAGGACA